GAATGAGTATCTACAAAATAGACGGTTTGGATTAGTGAAATACAATCCGGAGTGAGGCCTATGAGGGGTGTCCCTCAATGGAAGCTCTCTGTATATATATATTTATATATATATATATGAATATATATATTGTGGACTGTTAAGATCCCACGAGCACGACCCTGCTTGGGCCTGCATATGTTTATTTTAAAAAAATGGTAGAACGAACAAAGAAGCAAGGGAAACAAAATAAATAAATAAATAAATAAAAATAACGGCACTTAGCGTATAGGGAGTTCGACTAGTGCTGCAAATGTTTCTACTGAATTCTAAATTTTTATCTAGTAGAGTTTTGCATTTTAGATTTATGTGGTTTTAGTTTTAAGGGCATTTGAGTCTATTTAAGTGGATTTTTTGCTATTTTTGAAAGTTTTTTACAAAACTTACATTTATGAAAATAGGGGTAAATTTTGGCTATTTTTGATAAAAACTCGAGAGATGATGGAGGGATGGCTAGGGTACGGGAAATGGTTGGGGAAGTGATACAAATGAATATAAAGAGTTGGGCCTGGTTAAGAAATAGAGTTTGGCCAAGTGAGATGGCTAAGAAATGGAGTTAGGCCTATATATTTATTTGACTTTTGGAGTTGGGCTTGGTGTGGAGAAGTCTAATAATATATAATTATATATTAAAATTATATATATTTTAATTTGACCGGTCCGATTCGGTTTGATCTGGTTTTTGAAGGCATGGAATCAGAACCAGAACTGGTACGGTTCGATTTTTTGACAAGTTGTTAACTTTTTGGTCAATTCCGTTTTTTTTATGCGATTCGGCTCTAATTTTCGGTTTGCCGGTTTGAATGCCCACCCTTACTATGTGGAGAGGCAAATATTGAAGGGCAACAATGTGATCCATAAATACTTGATGTACATCATTGTCTGTATTGATAGTTTCTTCTAATTAAGGTCTAAAATTATGTATAATGCTTATGAAATGAAGGTGCTTCAAGTATGGAATTGGAGATTTCACTTTTGATGTACCAATCCACATGATATTTTATTTCTTCAAATATACTCAATCTTTTATGTATGTGACTACTTATGGGACATTAGAAGTTGTAAAAATTTTGCTTTCTCCACTTTCAGTGGATATTCTAGTTAAAGATGCAACAATCTAGGATATAGACTTAAAGATTTAGGTGGATTAATATAGGGCTTGATTAATGATCATGATGGAGCCAATACTTGTGACATTATTCCAAGGAGGCCTAGTCTAGCCCAGAATTGGTGCGTCATGTGCAAAAGAAACCTGGATGTATGGATCATCTCTTCTTTTGTAGCACTGTTACATTAAAGCTTTCTTTTATGAGAGATTCATTGTTATACCCAATATAGGAGCCCAAATTATTTATATATAAAAAACCTATATTAAATGGACTTTAGAAACACACCCAAAGTTTATTTACAACATAACAAAAAGGCTTTTAACTTCTTTTAAATTACAAAACTGCCATTAATTTCTTAAAACAAACTCAACCTCAAACCTCATAAAAAAGCCCAAAACACTTAATAGGGTATCAAAGTAATTTAATAATCAAAATGAAATTCAATAGGGTCAACTGTTATTTTTTGGGTTTTTTTGGGGTTTATTTATAGAAATTAAATGGTGTAGGATTTATCTATATTATTAGTGTTAAGAATAAGTATATGACTAAATATCACTCATTGTATTTATTTTGGTACTGTCTCTTAATCAAATTGTTGTTATCAAAGATTGATTAGGATGGATATCATCTAAAGATGGCAAAAAATGAGTCACATTTTATTATAATTGCTAAATTGGATTTAATATGATGTAGATTTGTTCAGCGATGACTAGTATGGATTGGACCTTAAAATATTTATGCGGTGGTTGTAATTTACTTAAAAGCCAGGTTTATTTGGTTCTAAAGGTGGACGAAGTGCCTGATTATGACAATGAAATTGAAGATTGGTTGTTTGGGTGCAGTGAGCCCAAGGTGGAATCTTCAGGGTTGAGGAGACACCCGAGGTATGGTCAGAGGCTCT